CAAGAAGAAAAAGAAAGACCCCCCACACCCCCCTTTTTGGGGGGACTTGGTCCCGTCCGAGTAGATATTGGTTACGTAACCAGGTGAGCTCCACGAGGCCTCGTCCAATCACCCACGTGTCCATCCCTCCCCCCCCCCCCACCCCTAATTGATTGGTGAAAGATGAAAGTTTTTCACCGTTTCAGACCGGGACTCGTTCGCGTGCGCGCGCCTCGACTTGTTAAGCGCGTGCACGCGGCGCGCATTTTTGCATCGGATAACCAACGTATAGCGACTCGCGCGCGTGCCCGACAGCGCACTTGAGTAACCGTAATTACACGTGACACCAATTACTCTGTTACTTTGTATTAAATTATAATGGAAAGTTCCACTAGAGAATCGGAGACTAATTGCGTCTTAATTTGCATAATTTTGCATATTAATCGCATCTCAGATGAATAATAAATTTCAGATGATTTTTAAAAAATGTATGCGTAGACACAAAACAAAAAACTCAAATTATTTGGGGGGAGATTTTGAAAAAAAAAGATGTAATTATTACTAAAAACATTATTTCTCTCATTATCTAACGGCAAAAGACAAAGATTTCTGTGTGTTTATCAAAGTGAAACCAGGAGTTCAGCCTAAAAAAAAAAAGACAAATTTTATTCTAAAAGAGGAGAAATTAAATAGATTTACAGTCAGAACTTTGCAGACCTGTCAAATCCACTCAACAGTGATAATTCAAATACCTTTCTGCTTCTCTTTTCTTTTCCTTTCTTTTCTTTTCTTTCTTTTTTTTCCGAACTGATACCTGTACCTACAGAACCGACCCATTTCCAGGCGGAAAATACCTTCATTACTTTTATTTTCTCTCCGCTTTTTTCTTAACTGTTTTCTCCGCTCGTCTTTAGAAGAAAAAACTTCTTTCATTTCCCCGTGAATTGAACTTTAATGTGAAGGTTTTAAACTTCTAATTGTCTCGATGACACTTTCTTATTACGGACATCAATGGAAATTGTCATTTGTTAGATGTTTTAAGGTTTATTTTTAGTCTTTTGTGCTGAATCATAGGTGGATGGGTGACCTCACCTAAACTGAGAAGGATCTCTGGATTCCCACATCCCGGCTGTGATAGATAGCATCCATTTTCCTGGCAAACTGAGCTGTGGATTTAATCTCTCCTCCTCTTCCTCCTCCTCCTCTTCCTCCTCCTCCTCCTCCTCCTCCTCCTCCTCCGGTGACCTTCCTCACACACTCCGGGTGATGTCTTCATTCGGCAGGCGGCTGATGCTCAAACGTGGACAACACTGCCCTTCTGTGGCGAAAACAGAGATCTGAGCTCCTACAGCCAAAGATCAAAGACCTTTAGGGCCTCCGGCTCCCAAACGTGTGTCAAACGTGACAATTTAGGCACAGAAATGCCTCAAATAGATCAATTAGTGGTTAGTAATTGCTCAATTGGGATATAAAAGTGTCTAGATTGTAAATATTTTTCAATTTTGGACTAAAAAAACTAAAAAGTTGTATTACAGATTGTCTTTCAGGACTAAAAAAAACAACTTTTTCCTGGATATTGTCTTGAAACTTAACTAATCAGACTATTAAAACACTGTAAATTAGAGTTAATTTCTCTCTGTGAGCTCTTACAGCCAAAGCTGAATGACCTTTAGGGCCTTCGGACTCCAAAACGCGTGTCAAACGTCACAATCTGGGCACAGAAATCCCTAAAATAGATCAATTAGTGGTTATGAATTGCTCAATTGGGATATAAAAGTATCTAAATTGTAAATCTTTTTCAATATTGGAGGAAAAAAACTAAAAATTTGAATTACAGATTGTCTTTCAGGACTAAAAAAAACAACTTTTTCCTGGATATTGTCTTCGAATTTAACTAATCAGACTATTAAAACACTGTAAATTAGAGTTAATTTCTCTCTGTGAGCTCTTACAGCCAAAACTGAATGACTTTTAGGGCCTTCGGACTCCAAAACGCGTCTCAAACGTGACAATCAGGGAACAAAAATACCTAAAATAGATCAATTAGTGGTTAGTAATCGCTCAATTGGGATATAAAAGTATCTAGATTGTAAATCTTTTTCAATTTTGGACTAAAAAAACTAAAAATTGGATTACAGATTGTCGTTCAGGACTAAAAAAAACAACTTTTTCCTGGATATTGTCTTGAAACTTAACTAATAAGATATTAAAACACTGTAAATTAGAGTTAATTTCTCTCTGTGAGCTTGATCAGCTTCCAATGAGTTCTTATTCTGAGCATTTCTCGGGGATCCTTCATCTTAAATCTGTGTTTCTCCTTTTCTGTAAATTTGTCTGCAGACTCTGCAGGAATTAGTCTAATCCGGTGGAGGATTGGTTAATATTCTGCTCCATCCCACTCCCAGATGTGAAAAAGCTCCCGGACTGACACCCAGAATTACCCGGAAAAAGGGGCTTCCGCGTCTGGGCGCAATTTCCAAATAACCCAGAGCCACGTGCGGCTAATTTCTGATCAATAATCAATTGGGGCATTTTTGTCCAATTATTTTGGCGCACCTGCCTCTGCACGTTTTCCATTGTTTTTTTAAACGCGTAAAAAAGTTGGTTTGCTCTTTAAAACTCACGGTAGGAGTCATAGACGGGCGCGCACCCCCCTCTGCTGGACACTGGCGGATGTAAGACACCGTGCTGCCTTCAGGGGCTCCTCGGAAATTGTGGCTTCTCACCTTGATCAAGCGTTAATGTGAGAATTTGGCTTTTCTCAGAGTCGCCATGACTGTGTAGCAATAAATGAATCCTCTGACTAATTTAAAGTGCTTTATAATTTCATTATATTATCTATCTAAAGATACACTTACTTGAAAACGTTGTTTTTCTTTGAACGATGCCTGGTTTTGGTCTCACGTTCAGTGAAATTCTTGTACCTAAACCCCCTAAAGTTATAAACCTGTGTCTTGTCTAAATGTATGTAGTTTAGCAAGGAGCCTGTTTTAAATTAGACCCTTGGGCATTTTGTTATAACCAAAAGACACATAATGTGTTCTCATTTTTAGGAAAACACCAAATAAAACCCAGTCTGACAGACAGGAAACTGGATTTCTGAGGATTCCCAAAGAGCTGCTGCTGGAAACTGGGAAGATCTCAGCCTGGTGAGGAAACTGTACCAGAGGAGGACAGAAGAAGAAGAAGAGCTGGGCCTGAAAAACTCTGTGATCCAGCAGATGAAGAGGATCTGAAAGTGAGGTCCTTCAGAAAGAGGAGCAGATCCAGCAGAGAACTGACCAGGAGCTGAGAGCTGCATCTGGACCTCCAGCTGACCATCTCCTGGCTGCTGAAGCAGAAATGCTCTCCATGAAGGAAGGGACCAGGGAGGAAAGGCTGAGCTCTGCCAGAGGAACCAGAAGTGGACTGAACCCCAGCAGCTCTGATGGAGGGATGGATCCTCACTCCTGTGGGTGTTTTAGAACACCAAAAAAGCAAGAACAAAGATAAAAAATACACAAAAAAAACACCAGAAAGACAAAAAATAGAGCAAAAATGACCATACATTCGCAAAAATGAAAAAAACAAAGCTAGAAATGACCAAAAATACACCAAAAATAGAGCTAAAATATATATATATTCACAAAAATGGAAAAAAAACTGAGCCAAAGATGGCCACAAATACAACAGAAATAGAGTTAAAATGACCAAAATAAAGCTAAAACGGAGCTAAATGTATCCTGTCAGGTATTCAACAGCAGCTAAAAGCTCCCAGAGTTCCCACAGTGGGTCAGAAACTGGATGAAGTGGACTGAACCCCAGTTCTGATGGAGGATTAATCCTCCAGAGCCGGAGCTCAGAGATTCACTTTAAACCCCCTATCATTTTTTCAAACTGTTTTATTTCCTTATTTACTGTTAAAAATGTTTCAGTAAATAATTGCACATGTGACCTTCTGCAGGCAGAGCTTAAAAAGCCATTAAAGGTTTTCTTAATTGGCCGATAATAGCAAGAATATACCATCCCGATTGTATTAGGCGTATTAGGCTACAATTCTGACATATTTTCAGAAGAATAAACATCTTTAACCTACCGGAGTCCAGCTTTTCACGTTCCTATTAAACAACAGAAACAATAAAAGTGTAAATTAATGTAAAGTATATTCGTTAAAAGTTCCCCAAAGCTTAAAAAAAAACGTTAAATTGCTTGAAATGCAAATTTAAAGTGAAATAATGGTAGAAATGAATGTAAAGTATATTCGTTAAAAGTTCCCCAAAGCTTAAAAACAAACGTTAAATTGTTTGAAATGCAAATTTAAACTGAACTAATGGTGGAAATGAATGTAAAGTATATTCTCAAAAAGTTCCCCAAAGCTTAAAAACAAAACCTTAAATTGCTTGAAATGCAAATTTAAACTGAAATAGAGCCCAAAAATCATAGCAAAACCCAAGTTTCCCCGTTTCCCACAGTACCTGAAAGCAGCAGCAGCCGTGCGTAACGACGTCACGCGTGGCGCGGTGCATTGTGGGTGCAACATGGGGTGAGTTGCGTAAATGTTTCCAGACGCGGTCGTGTGAATGGAGACCCGGTCCGTTCACCCCCTCCGTGGCCCGGTCTCAGCCCGCCCCAAGCCGCCCGCCTCCCGGCTATGATGCTCCGCATCTCCGGCCTCTCCGTCCGCCCGGAGCTCCGGGGCCTGGCGGCCTACGCCTCCGGGGCCAGAGCCCGGAAAAGAGGCCTGTCCGGCAGCCACCAGCAGCCCGCGGGGACCGGGCAGAGAACCGGGCAGAGGACCGGGCAGTGGCTCCGAAAGTGGCCGGGATCCGGGCCTCTAACCCCGGCCTCTGAGCGGAAGATATGCCGCCGGAGGGTGGTCTTCGCCGGGGAGAGAACCCGGATGTTCAGCTCGGAGCCTGGAGGAACTGGAGACCCACCGGGGGCCCCACCGGGGGCCCCACCGGGGGAACCACCGGGGGAACCGGACCGTCAGCCCCGCGTGTCCGTGGTGGGCATCCCGGACCCGCTCACCTGGATCCGGTGCAAAGTCATAACATATCTGACTGATCTTTACTTTGAGACAGACATCAACTCGGTGGAGTTTGATAGAGGAGTGAAGCAGGTAAAATAACGCCGGTACAAACTGTCACAGTTTGCATTCAAACCTGAGACTAAATCCAGCCAAAGACACCATCTACAGAGTTATTTGGGGGGGTTAAAGCTGGGAAATGTAACATTTATGAAGAGATCCAGGTATTCCTGCCAGTATTTGAGAAAATGGGTGCCAAAGGTGGCAGTTTACCCAACAAAGTGACACATTTGGGTCTTCTACCTTTTTCAAACCTTTGTAACTTTTTTATTATTAAGGCGATCGGACTCAAAATTTTGATTCCCACAGACGTTCATACTTACTCAGAGCTTCTAAAGCGGCAATGTTCTGCGTGATTTAAGTAAGGAGTTATTCTAAATGGAAATATACACTTTTTAACAAA